GTGTGTGTGTGTGTGTGTGTGTGTGTGTCTGTGAGTGTGAGTGTGCGTATCTGTTTGTGAGTGTGTGTGTGTTGAACAGGTCTTCTGTTGTGTTCAGGAGTAGAGTTATTCTCGTCTCCACTAGCAACTCTGCTCACTTTGTTTGAATCGTGACGCTCAATCCTCCGAAACAAAGAGCCGCTCTGTGGGACACTGAAGCTCTGAGTCTGAGCCAAAGAACACGGCAGGAACCTGAAAAACAGGAGCTGTGACCATCACGGCTCCGTCTCAACCAACACACACTCACTAGAGAGCACACTCGATCCCTCCTGATGATACACAGGTCAGATCAGATCAAATATGAAGCTCACGGCGCTGAGAGTTCAGTTCAGGCTTCAACATCATCAGCAATGTCAGTATATTCACACACACAAATACATAATTAGGGTTACAGTTGGTATTAGTTATCATTACAGGTTTTTACAGTTAACTAACTTAAAAAAACATTTTTGTTACTTAAATTAAATTAAACTAAAATAAATAAAATAAAGCAAAATCTTGAAAGCCTCTCAGTGAGCATGTATTGTATATAAGCTGTTTGTAAGGGGCAGTCAGTCATGACGTCTTCATGTGCGTGTCACACTCCTTCATTCATCAGGATCAAGCAGCTTCTGTGTTTTACAGCAGCGTAACACTGATTAAACAGTAAAATCCCAAACTGAAGAGCATGAATTTCTGTCCTGATTTGAATGGTAATGAAGGAAATAACAGAAGGAGACGTTTGTGAACGAGATCAACCGCTCTGTTAATCATTTCAGCTCATTTGTTTTCATCATCACACAAACGAGCGCTTCCTCTTTGATGTGACATCACGTGTGACCACGCTTGAATGGACCGGACCAGAAGAAGAGGTTTCCATAGCAACGGCCCACACACATTTGTTTTCTTAGTGAGGACATTGCATAGACTTTCATTGATTTTCTATCAGGTTAAAGATATTTTCTATCCCCTAACCCGACCCCTACCACTAAACGTACCCATCACAGAAACATGTACAGAACACAAGATCTACATAAAAATCATCCTTGATCCTATCCCCACTCACCTCCTTCAGGCCATTTCTTCTTCAGTCATACCTCCGCTTACTCACATTATCAACACCTCTCTTCACACTGGTACATTCCCACAGCATTCAAGCAGGCTCGGGTAAGCCCACTGCTTAAAAAAACCCTCTCTAAATCCAGCGCTTTTAGAAAACTACAGACCGGTATCCCTTCTTCCATCATTGCAAAGACACTTGAGCGAGTTGTGTTCAACCAACTCTCTATGTTTCTTGCACAGAACAACCTCATGGACAGCAACCAATCTGAGCTTGGCAAGAGCAGCTTCCAAATCCTCAGTACTCATCTTGCTGGATCTATCTGCTGCTTTTGACACAGTTAACCACCAGATCCTCCTGTCCACCCTCATGAAGATGGGCATCTCAGGAACCACACTCCTGTAGTTCAAGTCTTACCTCTCAGGTAGGTCCTTCAAGGGTGTCTTGGAGGAGTGAGGTTTCTAAGGCACAACTTCTTGCTACTGGGGTTCCTCAAGGCTCAGTGCTTGGACCTCTTCTCTTCTCCATCTACATGTCTTCATTAGGATCTGTCATTCAGAAGCATGTCTTTTCTTATCACTGCTATGCTGATGACACTCAAATCTACTTCTCATTCCAACCAGATGACTCGACAGTAGCTGCTCGCATTGCAGCCTGTCTGAGAGATATTTCTAGCTGGATGAAGGACCATCACCTACAACTCAACCTTACTAAGACAGAACTGCTTGTGGTCTCAGCCAACCCAGCACTTCATCACAACCTCTCTATACAGCTGGGTTCGTCAACATAACTCCTTCCAGGACAGCCAGAAACTTTGGAGTTGTGATCGATGATCAGTTAAGCTTCACAGACCGTATTGCTACAACGGCCCGGTCCTGCAGCTTTGTCTTATACAACATTAGGAAGATTCGACCCTTCCTGTCAGAGCAGACTGCACAACTCCTTGTCCAAGCTCTTGTTCTCTCCAGACTGGACTATTGTAATGCTCTCTTGGCGGGCCTTCCAGCATGCACTATCAAGCCTCTGCAACTGATCCAGAATGCAGCAGCGAGAGTGGTCTTCAGTGAGCTGAAGAAAGCTCACGTAACTCCTCTCCTCATCAGGTTACACTGGCTACCAGTAGCCGCTCGCATCAAATTCAAGGTACTGATGATTGCCTACAAGACCACCACTGGCGCTGCACCAATATACCTAAACTCACTAGTTCAAACGTATGCGCCTCCAGAAGCTTGTGTTCTGCAACAATGCCTCGTGGTGCCATCCCAAAGAGGCACAAAATCACTCTCCCAACCCTACCCCTAAACCTACCCCTTACAGGAGACTTTGTGCATTTTTACTTTCTCAAAAAAACTAATTCTGTATGATTTATAAGCTTGTTTCCTCATGGGGACCTCAAAAATGTCCCCACAAGGTCAAAATTTACTAGTATTACTATTTTTGTGGGGACATTTGGTCCCCATAACGTGATAAATACCAGGTACACACACACACAGTACACACACTCTCTCTCTC